CTTAAAGTTGCCAAGGTTGAGGAACCCTGGTTTAGTAGGCCACAGGTTCCTGACCGATTCTTCCCCCTGTCGCCAATCAGAGTCAATTCAGCTTGCGGTGAATGTTTTCTTACAAGGGAACTTTAAGAGTTCATATATGGGAGGGGTGTGTATGTGTGCATCCCATAGTTTTGGTAGTGAATTCAGTTTACATGTGAAGGGGGGGCACCACAGTTCCCATCAGCATAAGGAATAATATTTGGAAAGAATAATAAAAATAAATAAATAAATGTTTGGAAATGGTTTTATGGAACTGTGAGGGCTCCCATCTGTAGCAAATCTGGTGTACGATTTCCTTAAAATGCTTTTCGGGAAGCATCAACCCTGAAACTATTGATTTTACCTTGGTTTGGGGGGTGCTCCAGAATCAGATGACATTAATTCAACAATATTGACTTGATGCTCCTGCGAGGCTTAACGGGGTGAAATGCAAAAACATCCCTGCTGTAGTAACAACGCCAATTGATTTGCTTGCTCTCCAGCTTTACAAAATAATCTGTCAATTTTTCTGATTAGCTCTCCCCTTGAATTGCTTTCTTGTGCTTTTCTAAGCCCACATGAGACCATACATCAATAGCATCTTTATTTCCCATCAAGACCAAGCACTTGGCTTTGCATTCTTTCCAACCGCTGGGGAAAAAAAATTCTACAGTGAACATACATTTTATTTTGGCATGAGTTTTAGGAGTATTAAAATCCATCACACCCCAAAGCCTCTGTCACCTAGAAACCAATATTTCTGCAAGATAAAACAGCACTTGGAGTATGAAATCCTACATCCCTTGCAATAATTTATGCATCCTGTTTTTGAATTATACAAAATTAAAGGCAGACATGCACCAAATAAATAAGCCACATTTGTGCCTGGAGATGCAGTGCTGAGGTTTGTGCTGTGAGATCAAAAGCCACTGACATTTAAATTTATACCTTTGGGGGATCAACTCCCACATTTTTCTGCATAAAACCGAGTCTAGGGTGTAACACTCATGCCTGTACAATCAGGTTGTGCTCTGGCATCTCAGGGTCTGAAGCGCAAGAGTCCCGGAGCTGAGCCCATTTAACATCGCCCTCCTGCAAAGCGAGGAGCGACGAAGCGGGCATCCTCGCCCCTCAAACGGCCTGGCTCAGCTACAGGCGGAGAAAAAAGCCCGGGAAAGGAGAACAGGAAGCATCTATTCCCTTGGCAAGCGGGCGAGGGCTGAGCTGGGCACGATCGGGGCAGAAAGGCGCCACGAGCCTGATTTCAAAGACTTGCCCTCTCCCAAGGAGAGCGCGGGGAGGGAACGGGCTGTAATCCGATTTCCACTTCCCTAAACCCCAGAAAAGAGGGACGATGGCAATCAAATGCGCGCGCACAAAAAAAAAAAAGCACCCCAAGGGCCAACAGCGATACCACCCACCCACGCCTTCTACTCCGACAGCGCCTGCCAGCACCTCTATTTATAACCGCCCAGGCCACGCCCCCCCCTCCTCGCGCCAATGAGAAAGGGGGGCGGGCGAGGCGTCTTGACAACCGTGGGGAGGCACCGCCCCG